ACTGAATGCACCAAAGGAAATTGGGAGTTCTGTCATTATTTCAAAGTTGCATTAGAAAAGACCTAATTTTCTTTTAATTAGGGATGTGTCCCCACCTGCTGTGAAATATTATTATGGTGCTTAATTTCATCTTCACCATTTCTTTTGCTTTTTATTCTGTCAAAGACCTAAGCAAGTTGAGCTTGGGGAAGACTCAATTCCTTTGAGATGTGTTAACAATATCTACTTCAGGACCAGATTCTTGTATGAAATGCTGCAAGGGGCCTGGAATGTGGCATTTTACTGTAAGACCACTCCTTTCCCCCCCCCCTTGCAGACACACACAGACCCTGTTTTCACAAGCTCTCCTTACCACCTACTCACGTGGTTGGGTGACTGCTCCCCTGGAACAGCCTGTCTCGGCAGGGACGGGGCCCATCGCCCTGTTCCCTCTTGCTCTGCCACATCTCTGCCTACGCCAACACTGGGGTGGTGACCTCACTCCTCGTGTTACAGCCAGGTTTGGATGTCTGCTCTTCTGTGTCCAGACCATGCAGACAAGAGCAGCTCACAGCTCTGACCCCCTCACAGATGCACTGGGCACCTCTGCATGGGTCACACTCGCTTTGTCAAGGGCACACATTCCCCAGCAACACACCATTAGCCGCTTTTTCCGAGCGCGGGCTGGAAGCCTGATGTTCTCATGTGATTCCAGGGGCTGAGGCAATGGACACGTGTCTCTGTGTTAATCCAGCCCTGGAGACCAGCCCCACCCCTGGAGCTCAGAGCACAGCCAAGCGCCCTTCCAATTCAGGCTCCAAATCTCAGAGGATCAGACTTAATGAGTGGCTCTGAGGACTGCAGTTCTGGAGATGGTCCTGCACTGACCCTGACAGCGAGCACCACCCGTGGGGCTGGGGGTGAAGCTCCTGGTCAGGCTCAGCTGGGCTGTGGCCAGGGTTGCCAGCCCCTGCCAGCCAGGGCTGCAGATGTGATGCTTCAGAGTGCATTAAGCTCTGAAGGCAGTGCTCATCTCTCCATCTGCTGAAACTGGCTGGCAAAGGAGAGAAGGAGTTTAGCACTGTGTAGAGTCTGGCTATCCAAAAAGGCAAGAGGGAAAAAAACCCCAGAGATAGAAATAACGGGTGATCAGTAATCATGCCTTTAATAGCTTGTAAATATCTTTTTGTTTTTAAATTCCAGGTAACTAAGATGTACATTTGTTGTGTGTATCTGACATCTGAAAAAAACCCATGAGTTCACAATCTGTTCCGTTTCTTCCCTTTTCTAAAGCACATAAATTAAAGTGTCAGTCATCCCAATATACAACAGTTTAATGAAGGAAAAGGGTTTGTTCTGTTTTTACAATTCAGTGTCAATTTTTTATATGAAGCATTAGCTAGAAGTTTAGCTAGAAAACTGTCTTACAACAAATAGGAAAACTCAGAATTTAGGCTCTCCAGTAAAAAATCAAGAAACTTCCACTCCCTGCTCTCAAACTCCACATCCTAGTAAAGCATCAGAGTAACATCTTCATTTCCTGCTAGAAAACAAACAACCCCAAAAACTCTTCAAACACACCAGGGAAACACTGTCTGTACCACAGAGCTTATTACACTTAAAATTATTAACAGTGCAACAATTTCTTCTTCTACAGCTTTAATGCAGAACCTGAATTCATGTCAGGATGAACATGGATTACAAGTGGCCCTCAGTGCCTGAGGCTGCTGAATGGCCTCCCACCCTTGATTTCAGTATCCAATAAAAGCTCTCAGACTTGAGAGCACCTGCTGGCACAGGGACCTCCCACCACTCAGCAGTTCAGGCTGAGGCCTTTTTAGCATCCCCTTGCTGAACTCAGCTTAACCCCATCTCACACAGCTGGGACTGGAATTCAGATGGGAAGACAGTAAAGACCCTCCTCTTGCACTGGTGCTGTGGCTCAGTGCTCAGCACGATTCAGCCAAGTAGCTCTGGCCACTACCCAATGTTCTCAACTATTGCTGAGTTTTGTAGGTGCAGGATCACTGTATTAGCTATGCAGCCTTGATGGAGAGGTTTGCTCTTGCCTTCTTCCCATTGAGGGATGCACGAGCATTGCGTACCTGGGGCTGCTCCTTGTGAGATTGCCTGGGAGCTGGTGGGAATAGCCCGTGCTCTAGCACAAGATGGATCATGTACAGGGAAATGGGAGTCAGGCAGAAACAGCTCACTTGGTTGATGTATCCATCCATTCCTTAGCACTGAATATAAAACCTCTGAACTAGGAGAAGAGAAAACTTAAAGATGAAAGAACACAAAATGAAGCAAAAACGTGACCTTTACTGCTTTGTCATCTCCCACTGTTTTGACTAAAGAACCAGATCTAGAAGTGCAGCTAACTCCAGAGACAAACGTACTCTTTCACAGTCTTGTGTGTGTGCAGCACTAGAACAAAGTCACAATTACAGGTGTGAAGGAACAACTTTACAGTCCTCAGAAGACCTACTCTGTGCACTTGCCAGCAGCTTGAGTTTGCTGATAAAGTTAAGCAAAGAGGTTCATTCTTCTTGAGCACAAATGAAAATCCATCAAACCAGATTCTATTACAGAGAGATTCTAAACTGACAGAAATAATTATAGTCTTGATTAAAAACAATATATTATTCTAGATTTTTGGTTTTTTTAGTTCTCATGTAAAACCTCTATACTCTTGACATCTAGGAACAAAGACAAAATAAAACCCAGGCACTTGCTGTGCCTTCTCAAGCATTATTGTGGTGTTTAAGGGACACAGAGGAACATAACTGCTGAGATTAATGCCTACAGTGGAGAATAAGAGGAGTTCTTCATGCCGTTGGCTTTTTCAAGTCTCGGATTTGCTTAATCAAGTAGTTCTTCTCATCAGTGAATTGTTCGTCGTCCGTCCTCTCTTTCTGGAAATTGCTCAGAAACTCAATTAGCTTGGGTTGGTTTTTCAACAGGATCTCCACAATAGGCTGTGTTTTGTTTGGACTGGCCACAAAAACCTAACATGCAAACAAAATCAGGCACAGAGAGACAGTGAGGGGGTGGGGACAGAGAGGGAGAGAGAGAGAGAGAGAGAGAGAGAGAGAGAGAGAGAGAGAGAGAGGAACATCAGTTACAACATCCCCATGAGTTATTTTCTAACCAGTCAACTGAAGGCTGGCAGGCACAGACTCTGCTGCTACACACCTTGTCCCAAGGCACACAGAGAGGAGTTCAAACATGTTGGTTCAACAGCAAATTGAAGCAAAGCTATGCCCGTGTGTGGTATCGCTTCCCTTTCATTTGCTCTTTTGTTGATAAAAAGTTTTGCTTGTAAACTCAGCTGCTGGGAGTGAGCTATCAACTCTCAGCCTCTTCCACACACAAGGCAAACACACAGAAATTAATTATCAGGAGAATGGAAAAGCTTTGTGTCAGCATTGATATCATTTCCATATTAAACCAGGCCTAAAATTAGACTTGCCAGCTTTGTTTTGGTTTGGAAAAATATGTCAGAGGCCCCACTTCCCTCTGCCTAATCCATTCATGGGAGCATGGAAACTTACAGCAGCAGGAGAACTGTGGTGTGCCCAGGACCTTCCCAGCCCTTGCTGAGCAGAGGAGGGTGGCAATGCAGACACAGATACTCACCTGGCACAGCCAGGCCAGCACCATGGGCTTACTGGTCTTCTCAAAGAGTAGGTTTCAAGGACAAACCTACCCGTGCTCTGATTTTCCTCCTGTAATCCCTAAAGCTGCCGTTTCCCATCTCCAAATCCCTATGCCCTATGCCACAACACTGTTGCTTTAACATTTTCAGTGCACTGAGTGCCAGCTGAGGACAGTAAACCTAAGGCTGGTTGCAAAGGCCAGCAGTGACCAGCTCCTCTCAGGGACCTCAGGATGCCCTGGAGATGAGGGCTCTGTGGACATCGATCGGGAGAGGTGGATGGGGCAGGGGACTTGCACTGGGAACACACATGCAGCACATCCCCGGCCACCCCAGGAGCTCCCACATCTGGTTCACACTGAGGTTACCATGGCTGGTCAACAAAACACTGCCTGAGTGCTTGTGCAACGACAGAAATAACTTCAGTTATTCTCTACCCAATGAGAAGAAATTAAGGATGGACAGAACTGGAAAGCATCCAGTTTCCCTCCAAGCCTGTCCAAACCGGAATGAAAACAAACATCTGCTGACAGCACAGAACAGCATGTTGTCTGTCCGAGCACAGGCGGCACCACTGCTGGCCCAGCCCGGAGCCAGTGGCTCCAGACCTGGGCTTCTTCTGCAGGTTCATTTATCTCCACTGAGGTTGTGCCCACATGAAAACCTGGGCCACATCCAGCTGCACAGGGAGGAGTTGTGCTACATGATGAGGAACACACACCACCCTGGGATACTGTTATAGGCCCTGCCCCCAGAAACAACACCTGGTAAAGCCTGAGATAGGGTTCAGGCTGGACCCACCGTTAGGCTTCGTACTGCACAATAAGAGGATGTTATACAAGTGGTGTGGAAAATGCCACACATGGGGAATACGTGGAATGAATGGGGCTCAACACACATCGAAAGTGCCACACAGAGTACTTCTGTCCAAACAGAAAGGTAAGATTACTTTTTCATTCCATAAAGGTGAGGCAAAGCATCTACTCTTAAACCCTGGCATCCTGATGCCAAAACAGTCCTAATCTTTGCTTATGCTCTCGATCTCCTCTGGATCCCTCCTCCTAGGAGTCCCTGCTTCAAGGTATTTTTCCCTCTGCCCTGCAGAAAGACCTACAACATCTGCCATGCTGGTGAACACCCCCCAAGTGTATCACAAAGTTTTCCTTGATCTAGTGGCCAGGCCATGGTCCCTGTGACAGTACAGTATCTACAGTTACTCACACAGGCCTTCACATTGCCCTTCTCTGATGACCCTGAGCTATAATCCTAAATAATTCTTTTTTAGTCCTACTTGCCTCCTAAAACTTCTTAAGAGCAGCATCAACAGGCTCCACTCCCAATGATCTCTTCAGAGAAGCCACTCTGGGGTAACATCTTTCTTGCACGATGCCCCAGGTGCCCAAGGGACAACATTGTACCAGGGACACATCTATGCATGGGTGGGACAGCCAGTTCACAGCTCTCACTACCCTTGATGGACTGTCAACAGCTTGTTGCTCTGTTGCTGCCTGCAGCACCTGAAAGCACTACCTCCTCCTTTGCGAATAACTTTGATACACTGCCATTGATCCATTGGTTCCACTTAGACTGGGATAGAAAAGCTTTGGGGATGTGAATCACTACTGAATGTACTTTAAAGCTTTCCAGTGTGTGCTTTATCTAGGGAATCCTGAAATCTCATGGGTGTGGATGTCTGGGTCTGGCTGAGAATGTAGCAGTTCATGCTCTCAGTTGGAGCAGCCCCAGGATGCAGCTCCCCATGTGCTGACCTAGAGCAGGTGACCACGCTGATGGAGTCTGGCTGCTTCCAGGATTTGGACTGTGATAAGCACTCAGTCATCTGGACAAGATTCCTTTGAGAAAAGCAGGACATAAGCCTACAGGAAGGGATAAGGGAAGTAACTGTTACAGATCTTCATTAAAATTTTTTTGGAGTTCAGTTCTCACTTTGTGACCAGAAGAAGAAAACCATCAAATACACTTGCAGGACCCACATGTTCAGAAATAATAATAATAATATGATGACGATGATGTAAATAGAAGCCACTAAAGAAGACCTGACCTTGAACTGCTGAACAACTTCTTTTGATGAGTATTAGGCCTCCCTAATATTTTTCCCTAAAGGCAGGTGAAGGGTGAGTCTCAAAACGAAGAAATCTGAAAAATTCTTCTTGTAAAAGCTACCTGCTCTGCAAACAGAACTGGAAGGTTAGTGGTAAACCAGCATTTGGTCCTACAGCTGGTATTACCATAGCAAATAATTAAAGAACTTAGTTTAATGGAAGACATCACATCCTGTTTATCTTCCTGTTCAATTATTTATAGATTATAATCTTTCCCTTGCAAAACTGGCAAACTGCACATTCAAACAAAGATCATCTCAACTGCCAGTCTTGCTCAGTGTCAACAGGGACTTGTAAAGAGAGAATGTTCAAGGACCAGAAAATTCCTGAAATGTTATTCAATACTTTGGCTAAGCAAACAAAATCAATACTGCCAGTATCAACTGATCAGCCTCACAGAGCCCAGAAGCAGGACCACCATGAGACTTCACTTTCAAAAGAGCCCCCTCATTTGGAACTCTGTATTATCCTAGAGGAGAGATCAATCCCTGAAAACAGAAATTATTATTGATGCTATCTGGAACATTTCTACTAAAATGAAGTTGAACCAAGCCACAGAGAACTTTGTTTCACCTGTGGTTTTATTATGAAAGGGGGTATGTTCTAGAGCACTAAATTCAGATAGATGAAAGAGACAGAGGCTTGAAATGGAGAGAGTACTCATATAAAAATTCCGACTCTAAAAATAGCTGTATAAACACAGCTCCATTTAGTGAATATTATGTGCAAAAGGCCTGGAATGAAAATCAACTCTGAAACTTCAAAAGTTGTCCTAAGTGGAACTGTTGCTATCTTCTCCATTAAAAGTCATACTGTATTTCTTCAAACAAACATCAAAATTACTTGATTAAAGAATCTGACCTTATTTCCTTACAATTAATAACCAGGCATTACCAGCCTCTGGGACTACAGCAAAGCAAAAGTGATTATAGAGATTGGATACCCTGGATTGAGTATTTTAGGACTTACTCTGGGGTCAGGCACAATCTTTCAGTCAGGAAACTGCACACAGAAGTGCTTCATGGTTCATGTTGCTTACAGCACAACGCTTTTTGCATAATAATTCTTGCCCTTTAAACTCTCCAGCTAGGAAACAGAGAGGCCACATCCCCACAAATGTGGTTTCAGCTTCATACCAAGAGGAAACTGTCAGTACAGTCAAATTATGGGAGACTGTTTGCAGAGCAGCTGCAGGAGGTAGCTCGTAATGTGCAGGAAAGAGAATGGAAAAATGAAACTAAGGTCACAAAACACAGTGTACCCATTCTATTTTTAGCTTTAAACAGTAAAATATATCTTGCTAAATGTCTGCTTAAGAACTACAAAGTTGCATAATCCTAGTTCACTGCTTCGCGGTGTTTTCCTCAGAATAGTGTAACTGGGTACATGAAAGCCAAGAGAGCTTGTTGTTAACCTTTATTTGTAAATATGGACAGTGAAAGGAATACCTGCACCGTGTCCCTGTACTTCTGAAAGATTTGGTCTCCCCTACAGACAGGCAAACTCAAAGCAGGCTCCACTAGCAGCTGTCACAAACCCATCGCAGGAGCTGGGGAGCCCTCCCCAATATTTGGTCCTCAAAGGGTGCGTGCTCAAGCCTGACATCTCTCCACCGAAACCACTGCAGACAAGAACCGCTAACTCTCAAAGCCTATAACTCAGGTGACCCCCTTGGGATTATTTACGGAGGAGGAGGGAAGGGGTGAGGTGTGTTAGCTTTTCCTGATGATTAAATACTGGGTAATCTTCACGCATACATTGCCCGGGACATCCAGCTTTACAGAGCAGCTGCAGGCCTTTAAGGATGTTGCTGCAAGGCAGAAGCTCCATTTTGCCCAGGCAAAAGGAAGAAAAGGAGCTGGAGGTAAGGGGAAGATCAAGCATCTCCCTCAATGGAGAATGGAAAGAGGCACTGCAAGTGGGCACTCTGTCTTCATTTTCCCACCCAAAGCAACCTGGATAAATGAAATACTGTCAGAGCTTGAGGGTATTGGCATTTTCAGCCACAAAAAGTGCTTGCAAAATAAGTGTGCACTAGAAGTGCTCATCATTTTAATCTCTATCTTACAGTTTCGAATCTTCAATAATTAGAAATCGCCTCAGGGAGTAAAGAGTCATAAGCCTTTTTTTTAGGTCAGCTGGGGCATGGGAGTGTTGGAATCTGGATGCTTGCAAAACAAACACTTTTTCATTTCAACTGTGTCTAACTGGTGAAACATCTAAATCAGGTAATTTAAACCCAAATCTTTTGGCAGCTCAGACAGAGCAGCAAGTATCCACTTCTCAGCAGGCCTTTGATTCCAAATCGCAGTGGTTAGTCTACTGTAATTTCAACCAGGACTGCACAGGTATTTTGCAAGCATATTTTAAAAATGCAGGCACAGTTTAAAATTTATGAGATTAAAAGCTAAGGACAAGATTCCTCTCCCAGTTACATTAACATGGAATTATTACAGCTGACAAGAGAACTGGGCTGAGGGACACAATCCCAGGAACAGAAGGCAGGGACACCATGGAACAGGGCACAACAGTCAGGCTCTTAAATATTTCAGGATTTCCTTCAGTAGTTCTCAAGAAGCTGGAACTCAGTTTAAGAAGTTGAATCAGAGGGAAAAGATCTTCTCTGAGCCACTCTATAAAGCTAATTCACAATGTGATTTTCTATAACATACCCTGTAACTACCCTGCCCCCTTGGGAGGGACCTGAATTCTTCAGCGATCCAGGGAACCCAGATCCTCAGTGAGGACCTTAAAGGGGAGCTCTGCTGCACCTCTGCAGTTACCCCAGTGTGCTGCTGGTGGTTAGAAACAAGCAATTTCCAGCTGATCAGGTTCTGCTCTGAGTCTGTAGTTTCCCCATAACAAACACTATGCATGTGAGGTAGTGTGAGGAATGCCATGGCACTGCGTAAATGCTGCTGAATGGTATCACTGCAATAAAACAACAACACCCCACAGAAGTCAGGATCTGAGGACAGAGTTTGGCCCTTTGAACTGAAGAGACAAGATGTCATCATTGCTCGTTGCTTGTTTTGCTGGTCACTGCAAGGTCCAAGCATTATGGCCACATCGTAGCAATTGCAAGTGGTCAAGCAATATCCCCACTCTAACTGGAAATGGGATGCAACATACTGAAAAAGGAAAGGAAGGAAGGGAGGAATGGGAAGGCAGAATGGGAGAACAGCAATACGTGACATGGTTGCACACTGGAATCCTTTCACATTATTCCAAGTTCTTTTGAATGCCTTTTAAAATAAGCAAAATCAGCCATTCCCAAGGCCTGGGCCATGCCTATCATTGATTCAGGAACAGCAACTCATGTGTTTCATAAATAAAAATCTGGCACTTATTCACAGGGTGGCTAAAAGAACCCAATCCTCTGATACTTTCCCCCCATAGGCATCTCAAAGGCTGCAAGTGTTCGGAGCCTGACTGCTCACTTATCTTGGAGCCACACACCTGATAAGAAGGAGGACTAGAAGTTACTCACAGTGGTTCAGTTGACTATGGAGGAAGCAGCAAGGGAACAGCTTACCAAGCTGCTTATTTGAGGAAGGGAATATTTTTTTAATCCTCCTTGAAGCTTTTTTTTCCTTTTAGAAATGGAAAGCTTTTTGGAGAAGCTGCACATTCTCTAAGCCTCCACAGTGAAGATCAGAAAGCTTTTTTTCTCCAACTCACAACTCAACAAGTCACCCTTAATTTGTGGAGGGTGATGTAACCTTTTTTTCCATTATTTTGGTGTGATTTGGTATCTTCCTTAACCATCTTGGGAAAGGGATATCTTTACAGGCTCAATATTTCTCTTCTGAAAATCATTAACAACTCTATTTATAGTTCAAAATGAATGTGTCATTCCAAATTAATGTTAGTCTTGGATAACAACAATCCAACTCACCCTCTGTCCCAGAGCAGAGAACTTTTTTGATAGGGAAATGGTAAACTTCTCACTTATTAACATTAATCATCATGAAAACAACACTGGTTGGGTCTGATAATTGTTTAAGACTGCATTAATGATCATTGCAAAAGGATGGAAGGATTAAACTCATTTCAAGCTCAGATTTACCAAATCTTTTTAATACCTTTAAAAGCAAATTGTGTTTGCACTGATGCCCAGCACCAGCAACATCTACTTTTAGTCTTAATGTAGGGTTTTAAGACACTTTTTTAAATCCTTACCCAGAATCACATGGTAAAAAAAGAGTTGGGGGAAGGCCCCTTAAAAGTTGTGTATTTTGTTCCCTGTAACTCATCACTACTTGACTGACTACCCTCAGCCCAAACCAAAATTATGCTGCTTAAGATCTCACCTGAAGGAAGGCAAACAGAAACCAGCAGCTGAGTGATAGAAAGGTTTGCAGTGAATATGTTCTCAAGCGCTGGAAGTGACTGTAACCCCCAACCTTTGCCTTAATTTTCTGGGATTTCTCTTGTCCACATTGAAAGGCACTTTTCTGAGGAGAGGAGAAAGTATGCCACCTCTACAGGTCACACTAGCTCACCTTGAACACATGGAATGCTTCAAACTGAATATTGGGGCTTTTATCTCGCAGCAAGTTCATCATCAGCTTCAGATTTTCTGGTTTGCTGATGTATTTTGTCATGATGGCAAAGTTGTGTCGGTCCAGAATCAGTTCACCTAGCAGCTATAGACACAATTAAAAAAAAAAAAAAGATTTTTTTCAGTTTACTAAATTACTTTTGAATGCAGAGAGAGCAGCAGTATACTTTAATGTTTACTTGAGAGGTTTCAACGTTACTACCTTTTTATTAAAAAATAAGTGATTAGACTTGTTATGCTGTGAATTACCTAATGATCAGTAATGCTCATCTTCTAAATCCTAGAGATTGGGATCCCACATTCAGGCTGGGTGTAGTAGGAGCTGGTGTGAGCAGTTGGGACAGAAGCAAGGGTAGTGCAGCTGTCCCACAGACACCTTCATTTCACTTGGATATGACATTAACACACCTATCTGGTCCCATCTGCAAGTCATGTCAGACTTGGTGCACCAGAGACTATCACGATAACTCTGAAGTAACCTGTATTCTGACCCCAAGTATGGATTTGAGGTCAGAGGAAAAATGATAGTGCTTGTACCATAGGAATGGCTCAATGCTTTCAGGAAAGAAAAGACACAGTGAGCTCTTGTGCATTTCAAGAAGAGCATCACAAGCCCTTAGTTCTTTTTTGTTAGAAAAACAGCTGCTCTGTTGCCATACAAGCACCTTGATATTCTGCATAATGTGGAGCATGAACTTAGGAGGAAAAGTGCTGAGAGACTTTACCTTCAAAGATTGTCTCTTTGTGACATAATTCTCAGAATGGAGGAGTTTTTCATAATCCTCAAAGATCTAGAGTAAAAAGAAAACACAAACTCATCAGATTCATGTCCATCCTTCCTCCTCTTGGTCCTTCCCACCCCAAGGAGCAGCAGAAGCCACAGCAGTGCCACCCTCTAACACTTCACTGCAATGCCAGGCCTGGCTCTTGTGGTCTTTTTTTCTTGGCTGGTTATTATGCAGTGAATTAGTGCCCAGGAACACTCCTCTTTCAAATACTGCAGAGGGGGACACCACATATGGACTGGATGCAACAGGGGCTGGTGTGAGCCAACTAGGACAGAAGTAAGCCAGTGCCTGTACAGCCTTCTCTTACAGAAGGGTGAATGTGCTGCCAGGACATGTGAGCCCAGCACATAATGTCCACTCACTCACATTGTGGTATGACTGGCTGTGTGTTTTAATGCAGTACCCTAAAATGGTGATGGTGACTCCCAAAAGCTCCTTTTGGGAGGTGCCATCTCACCTGCCTTCAGCAGCCTCACTCAATAAAGCCATTTGCCCAATGAAGGTCACTAGGAGCCAAGTGTGTGCTGGTATTTGCAGGATTAGGCCATGGAATCTTGTGGTCAAGAAGACTGAGAGATAGGGCCACAATGTGTTCAAACCATCTACCAAACAAGCTAAAAATGCCCCAATGCTGCTGTCAAAGAATCATCTAAAAAAATTCTCACTTAGACAATTAATACTTCAAAATTTTAAATTCTAAATAAATGCAGATTAGGGACTGTTCCAGTGCAATGCTTCAGTATTAAAAGATTGGCAGAGACAGTAATTTTGCTCCAGTTAAGCTGCATTTGTGACTCAGCAATAATAAGCCTGATCTTTATTTAACCTTCTTGGTAACTAGAATGAAAGAGATTTGCCTTTTCACTTTGACAATGAAATAAAGAATACCTCAGGTAACATAAGAACATAACCTGTAGTTTAGTTCCATGATCCATATCAGTCCAAGTTTAGTTGATTCCAATGGAATTTTTCTGATCCACATTTGGTCCAAAACAGAGCCAAAAAAATCAAAGTGAAAAATGGCACCTAACCAAGGGACTAATTGCCTTAGGAAGGTAATGGGAATATTCAGTCTCTCATTTAGGTACATGTAATTTCCAGTTATGCCAAAACTTCTTTCAGTAACTCCTCTCCTCTGACCCAAAGTATTATAAACAACACTGGTATGGCCCTATCAGTGCTGGGGTATCACAAAACTGTTTAAAACCATGCACGTGTTTTTCCCCATGATCTATTTACATACCAAGTTTATGGTTCCATTCACATATGAAGAGATACGATGCTAACAGAGAGGTATAAATTTTGCTTTTAGACTATGAGTTCTCCTGAAACCTTGGCATGTGTCCCCAAGTGTGTGATGAGGAGGTACCTGTATTGCACAGGCCAAGCATTGTTTGGTTTTGCAGTCCTGTGTGACTATTTCATGTGGAGCATGAAACCCTCTGCTACTGAAAGTGCACTTTTCCCAGCTATGCTCACAAAGATGTTTGAAAAATTCTTTCAGCATTGGTACTTACTGCATCATAATTTTGTTCCAGAAATTCTGCCACCAACGATTTGTGTCGTGTTAACAGGTCCTGGGGAAGAACAGAGAAAGGTTACCTGAGAGTGTCTCAGGCTGATTGTCCCTTGATTCTCAAAAGTATTTCAGCACTTCTCACCAGGAGGTATTTACAACATGATTTCTATAGACAATAGTGCATTATGTGTTTAGCAGAACGTCAAGGAGAACTCAGTTAATGCTAACAAAATACATATAAAACTATTCTAATACTCCTTACTCTTTTTTCCCCTCCCACCTTTTCTTATGTTCATCAGTCATAGTGCACAGTACTTATGCTAATTCAGGATAGGGGAAAGTCAGAAAGTAAGCTAACCCTTTATGAAGGGATGAGCTATGGTCTCCAAGCCAAAAGTGATTTACATGCTACCCCATAGCTGGAAACTATGCTAAGCTGGATCAACTGCTATTACTCATCTCTAAGAATATAACAAGGAAGACTCAAATTCAACTACTGTATATATACACTTAGTTATTTAATAACAAAAGCTAGGCACCAACCTAAGCTGGACATCCAGGCTCCCTCCATGGGAAGGGGTCTCAGGGAGGTGGGATGAGTGCCTCCTGCAGATCTTTCTCTGCCCAAGGTTGGCTTACTAACACCAGGCAGACCTTTCAGACAGCTGAATGGGATGCCTCCCATGCTAAGAGGCTAACTAATTCAAATTTAAATTACAGGAACCTCTCCCAAAGAATGGGAATGCTGGTGCTCTGTGACAGAGATGCACATGTTCAGCCCCAGAAGAAATGGAGTCTCTTTACTGGATGAATAGCTATGAAAGGGAGTGGCCAGTTTGAGGCATTTAAGTATGATTTTTATCTTGCTGCTTCTTTTAAAAAATAACATTGATTACAATAAATGCCTGATGAAGTTTGTACAGGTTGGTATTTTTTTGGTGAATCAGTTTCTGCCACCTTTTTCATCATATCTTCCTTGGTCTCCCTACCCAGAGATTGGAGCTAAGGAGCTAAAGCAGATGCACAGACATATCCTCACAAACAAAATAAATCCTCCATATACTAATCCTTTAATTTATTTTTACCATCAATTATAAGAGGAAAGCAGAGTGCTACGAAGTGCAGCACATGTTTTTAATACATTCCTCTATTTAGCAGGACTGCAATAATAGCAATTTCAAAGGCTGAGTGAAACACGTGATTCATGAGCTTTTCTGCAGGGCACTTAGGAGACAAGTACAACATCCTTCAATAGGGGGCACAAATGGAATATAATCCAAAATGAGGTTTTCATAGAAAATAATGCGAAGGTGTGGAGCAGCAGTATCAACTTAGCACTCTTTCAAACTGCAACTTGCACCCTCCACAGCCAACTTATATCTCTAAACACAATCCATTTTCCTCTGCACTTTTAACAGCTCTGTTTCCTTTCTGCAGTGCACCTGGCTGAATTTAATTAAGTACATCTCTATATCATAAAAAATTCCAATACTTCCCTACTATAAATATCCTCAGACTTAGATGCATGTTTAATTAAGCTCTCCTCTGGTGCATAGACTATCCAAGGCTTTCTGCTCTGAACCAGACACCTTGATGGCAACACTACAGACCCAACATGGGAGCAACAGGACCAAAACCATGAGTTTAGTAATCCATCCAGCAAGAAACCATAGCACTTATTTTTCCAGTATTAGAAATGATGTAACTCCATATTCAATTGCTTCCACATCATTTCTTGCAGTTCCAGCTATTCAGAATAACAGACAAAGAGGAGATGAGATGAATAGCTGGTTTATTTCCAGAACTGACCAGGTGGTGAGGCAATTTTAAAAAAATTAATAAAATGCAGTTTATACATTTCCCACAAGCATTTAAAAAGGTGATTTCTGACCTATGTCTGAGGATGAACTGCCCTCATACTCCTCTCTTTCCAGTGCATGTGAGGATGTAGAATCCTATTTTTAAATACTGCTAAAAATACACTCAGTTCACAGGGGACAGAAGCACGTTCCACAGCTGTAGGTCTGTGAAGAATAATACCAATGGCATCCTGGCCTGGATCAGGAACAGTGTGGCCAACAGGACCAGGGAGATGATTCTGGCCCTGTACTTGGCACTGGTGAGGCCACACCTTGAGTATTGTGTGCAGTTCTGGGCCCCTCAGTTCAGGAAGGATATTGAGGTGCTGGAGCAGGTCCAGAGAAGAGTAACGAGGCTGGTGAAGGGACTCGAGCACAAGTGCCATGAGGAGAGGCTGAAGGAGCTGGGGGTGTTTAGCCTGGAGAAGAGGAGGCTCAGGGGAGACCTTATTGACCCCTACAACTCCCTGAAAGGAGGTTGGAGTCAGGTGGGGGTTGGTCTCTTCTCGCAGGCAACCAGCAGTAGGACAAGAGGGCACAGACTCAAGCTCTGCCAGGGGAGGTTTAGGTTGGATATTAGGAAGAGATTTTTTATGGAGAGAGTGATCAGACATTGGAATGGGCTGCCCGGGGAGATGATGGATTCACCATCCCTGGAGGTTTTCAAGATGAGACTGGATGTGGCACTTAGTGCCATGGTCTAGTAACCACGGTAGGGTTGGACTCGATGATCTTGGAGGTCTCTTCCAACCCAGCTGATTCTATGATTAATCCCTCTTATTTTGGGAGGGTTGTAGCAGTCTGCAGTCCTTGCTACAGCTCAACTGACCCTTGTTCCCAACCTGCCTCCTGGTTGGGGTGGAGACTGTCCACCACCACCACCACCACACTCTGCTGTAGTGCTCAAAGCAGGATCTGTGAAAAAGATGCAAATCTCTTCTGTCAAGCTGGGAACTGACTCCAGGGGCACTTTTTCTAACCAGGCAAAAATATTCTTCTGAGCATAGGGTAAAATGCCAGTAACAGAAGATCTAAATATCTCAGTTATGTTGCATTTTTATACAGTCCCACACTGTACTTTTCCTTGTCTGTGTTTCTGTGCTACTTTGACTTTCATAGCATTTACATAATGGACACCACAACAGTGAAACTTGAAATAATGGAAAGAAGCTGCTATTGATTAATGGGTGGTTTGAACTGGTAATCCTGCTCAAGTCATTACTGAAGAATACATTATCTCCATTATGCAAATCTCTATCCCATTCAGTAGGTTAGTGAAAACCAGTAAAAAGCCACGTTTTAGTATGCATTGAATCACTGAGCTGAACTCTAAACATTCCTTACAGTTATTCCTAAGGTCTATCTAATCATGTTTCTAATTAGCCTTGAAAGGAAAGAATAAACAATGTGTTTCTATGACAGCTAGGAGCCCAGTGATAGAAGAAAAAAAGAGTTATATCTATATTTAGAAGAGTCTTTAACTAAAAAAAGAATTTTCCCCAGCTTTCTTACATTGCTTTTCAGAAATAAATTAATTTTCCCTGTACATTAAGATCATAGGCATCAAATTCTGCTCAAAGCCTATACTAGCACCTCGCAAGAGTGATGATGGTTGCATACAAATTCCAGTAAATTTGGCAGGCTTCACCCAACATCATTTTTAATACAGCACAGACTCTATACAGAGCCTATGCAGTGCTTCCATCTACTTAGGTTTTAGGAGCATGGTCCTTGCACTGAACCATGGGTTACAAAAGTAAGCTGATGAATGCATGTAAAATCATCAGCGGGCTTGGCATTAATGTAAACCTGACTGCCAAAGTCAGAATGGACAGCAAAAATCACAAGGATTTGAAAGGTTAGTTTTAAATGATGCCTTCTGTTTACTGGTTGTGGTCATGATGGGCAGTAGTTTGGTCCCTGGGGGAAGATCAGGAGAGAAAAAGGTTATGTGTTTTACAAGAACTGTACGTAATAGATGATTAATTTGAGTTTTAAAGGGTTGGATAAAAGACCTTGAGTTATCAAGATGAAGAACATTAATTAAATACAGATTTACATTTCTCTAAAGATTCTTTTCAGACTTGATCACTGTTGTGAATCCTGTTCCAATCAGACCAAGGATTAATTCTATCCCTCACTGAACAATACAAAAGCCACCCAGTTCCACACAACACTCTGTGATGACTACTGATGCAGTGCCATTTTTGACACAACACTGATGCAGGTATTGAATAATTTACCTTGAATGTAGCAAAGGCATCAGAAGCAATATCAAATGTTGACATTTCCACATATTTAAAAAAGTCTCTGAACTGTTCTGAAAACAGTATGATTTTGGCCAAGGGCTCATGTCGGATACACTCTCTCAGCATAATTCCACAACGTAAGGCAATATTCGGGGATTCATATCTGAAGAATTAATAGAAACAGAAAATATCAAAACACAGAAGAACAAAGATAAACAGGCATGTTTCTAGCAACAGGGAACTTTGTAGCATAGGGAATGCAAATGCCAGAGGGGACACAAGGCATGGAGAGCAGCTCCCAGCCACAGCACTGTACCAGCTTTCAGCCCAAAGCTGCAGAGCAGACAGACAGATAAAGCTGCCAGAATTTCTCATCACAAACCTCTCTCTTCCCAAGCCAAAACACATTTTAGTGTAAATTCGTATTACACCTCCTCTCTGTGGAAAGACCGTGGGGAGTGTGTAATGTTTCAATGTTACACCCTTTCAGATTTATGAGAAAGCAAAGCCCATACAATATAACAATCTACCTTTTCAGATTTAATTCTGAGCTCCTCAGCTTATCCAAGAAAAATGTAACACCTCATGACTATCCATCACCTCCTACTCCTCTTCTAGAGAATGTTCCTCCAGAGTATTAATGAGGGAGGGAGGAAGGAGGAAAGAAAGAGGGAGATAGGAAGAGTCTACCCAGGCAGTCTACACAGGATTAAGCTTTCTGTAGCTCTAAAGATATTTTTTTCCAGTTTAGGAGGAATTCTGCTCAATCCCTCCTCTGCAGAGGCTATGACTTTGTTCAGGAGACAAGTCCTCATTCCTCAAGTTACAATCCTGTTACAGCACATGCACAGCAATAGCCAGGAGCCAGCACACAGCTCAGTCTTGGAAAGGAAGGGAGGGGGAGGAAATTCATCTTCTATTTCTATAAGGTCTTGATTTCTTTAAAGCTGAAATTACACTGAAACAAAACTGTTAGAAACACATTTAAAAAAAAAAAAGAAATTAAAGAAAGGATGAAATCCAACAGTCAAGAAGGACTTAAAATTAACTTCTTCCAGCAATCTTCAGTCATGTGAAAGTGGTGAAGTCCAAGGGGACAGAAAGCACACTCTGTTTCAATAAACTTGTTATACTATATCAGAACTCTGTATTATCACCCAGAGCTTATCAGCATCATTTTTCCTTTGCACAATTAATTCCTATCACTATGCCAAAAGAAATCAAAAAAAAAAAGGAAGAAGAACACAGAATGCTGTCTGTGCTGTAAGTGAGTGGGCCCTCAAATTTAGCACCAGCTTGCAATTTAAAAGAACGGTAGTGTTTTGCGAGCATACCAGAGCTGCATACTTCAACCTGATGTCAACAATAGTTGGCTTAATGAAAAATGAATTGCTGTTCCAAACAGGCAAATGAAACTTCCCACCCTCAAGGAAATGCAAGCACTCAAGCCCCTATTTGTTTTGGTTTTAGGAAGCATTTGCAAACTTGAATTTATAACTTATGACACAATGGAAATTCGCTGATGTTTCCCATTGAGGCATACATCTTCTCAACTCCATTAACGGGAATACTAATTTTCAAGGAAAAAGATGCAGAGGTGCTCCTAGGAATACAGCCAGGAAAATATTTAATAGTTGGCTAAGGAATATTTTGGTTGGAATAAAAGCAAATTACATTGTTTCCAGCACAATAACTTTTAAAAACATTAACTATCAACAGAATCATTCTTAGTCAAACGCTCCATTATCTGGAAATGGGTTATGGACCTTTGGCTCTAAGCAAGGGAAGTTGGGTTTGGCTCTTGGAATATGCCTGGAAGAAGTTTACAAGCTGCCCAGTTCTAGCTAGCTGCCCTGTTCGAGACTAGCATGTTCTCTGCACCCACACTTACACGCAAAGTCACCAGGCAGGAATGATAGAAATGTGTTTCAAAATCACTTCTAATGAGCAATTAGTGCTCTGTGCTGATGTATTTCCACAGCAGAAAAAAATACTGAGTTTTCCCCTTTTGGGTGAACTTACAACCTAAGGAAACCCCCACATAATGATTACTGGGGGCAAATAGGAAATTAAACAATGGACTTGAAATACTTCAAAATACTTACTGTGGAGGTTGAAGGAGGCAAGACTGAGAGCAGAGATGTATCTCAGTGCAAAGGGAATCATTCTTGTTGGTTAGTGCAGAAAATGGCACAAGGACAAGGTGAGGAGCACAGGCAGGAGATCAGGAAGGCATCAAGGGAGACACAAGGTCTTGACAAACAGATACATTCTGATCTGGTTTTTTTGCTAACTTTTATAGCCTGAGTTTATCCTTGGATAAACTCAAGGGGAATTCTGCAACCTCAGCCAATGTACCATTAAAGCTTTAAGTGCACTATGATATGAAGAGGTCATCACAGCACATATCAGAGTAGTGTCTAGGTTAGAGATAGCACGGGGCATGATACATATATTCACAAAGAAGCTTATAAATTTGTTACTTGAGAGAAACAATGTAAGTGCCATAAGCTAAGTTCTCTACTGTCACTGCACTAGAGGGAAAATAATTTAAATTACAAAGGACCAAAGTTATTTCTGGGCTAATGCAATATGCTGACACCAGAAGAAAAAAAATCTGTCCCAAATATGTCTGGTTCTCTCTATATATTGTACCCATCTGAAATCCTACTCATACACAAGCCTGCACATGCAGAAAATAAGATGCTATTAAAGCAAGTCCTCATGCAGCAGGAAGGTTAAATAGCCTACCAAAATGAAAGGAAAAAAAATGTAGTGAACTATGTGCTGTATATTTTCTGAAGCTGAGAAGCTGGAAGGAAGCAGCCAACAAGTAAAACGAAGCCTAAGAGGTAAGAACAGTTATCTCAAGCTGGCAGTGCTGCTGGAGGCAGGAAACACTGGGTGGGAGCTCTGAGTCAGGATTCTTCCCACTCAACAGAGCTGACATTAAGCAACAAAAAAAGAAACCTTTTGCAGTTAGGAACTGACAGTCAGAGGGCAGAGGAAATTTTACATCCAATAGAAGTACAACAATGAGAAGCCTTCACAATAGTCCCAGGCTGTTTCTTTGATTGCCATGGTAGAGGGGATTTTTCTTTTCTCTCCAGGCGATGTCATGATGTCATGCAACAAACATGGAATGGTACAAGTCAACCAAATCCACTTTCCTTTAAGCAGATTTTGATTTCACGTATTTCATTTAGCATTAGAAAAATATATATTAACCTAATATAAATAATATAATGCATTTAGCATTAAATAAATGTGAAAACATGTCCTCAAGTCACATTTTCAAGTGGTGGTGTCTGACACAAAGTGCATGTTTCCCAGTCCCATAGCTGATCACACACAAACACCATGCACTGTGGGCATGCAGCAAGCTGTGTGTTCAGGGTCCTGCCCTTACTGTAGCCATGTATTCTAAGTATCATTTTTAGACAGTCCCAGCAGCAGGACATGGGCAGGTAAGGCATTGTTGTGTCTGACATCATTACACTGTTCTGTAGTAGCTGCTTAAATACCACCATCAGGGCTGGACAGGACTGACTTCTGGACTACTGGTGATGAATTTGCTCAAGAAATCATGAACAAGGAGCCTGAGGACTAAACTAACAGAGATGCTACATGC